CAAATAAAGAAGCCGCCTCATTCAAGAAAGTCGCTGTCAATGTCTGCACCATGCATCACGGAGGCCTGATTACTTCACAAGCGGAGAAATTGAAAGATGGTTTCTTCAAGAAAACAAAGACGAATCGTACAGCAAAGAAGCTGACCGAATGGTCGCTTGATGAGTGGCAATGCTCTAGGTATCCATGTGATTCTGTGAATAAATCAACTAGACTGAACTGTTTGGCGAAGCTGTGGGGAAGCAGCTCCAGCTGATCCGTACTTCTTTTATATCATGAAAGCTGAGGAAGATGATTCTCGTTAAAAAGAGCGCATGGAGCGAAGAAAGACAAAGTATGCCATTCGTGATCGCATAAAAGAATTCCTTGAGCGAATCCGACAGGGCAAAGAGCTCGCGAGAGGTCCCGCTTTGCTAAAATACATAAACGCGATGTCGCAGGTTCCTGTCATGACTGATGACGAGATGCAGTTCTTCCAGGTGCAAGATTTCATGAAGTCAATTTAAGAGTCTCACCCGGGCTTGGATCTCGATAAGGACCAACCGTTGCCAATGGAAGATGCTCTCGAAGAGAGAATCAAAGAGAATGCTTATAAAAATGCGGATAGTGTCGCTTGCCAGGAAGATTACGAATCCGGGGAAATTCAAGAATCAAGTGATAGCGACGAGGAAAAAGAACCAGAGGAAGAAATTCCAGAAGAACCCGAATCTCCAAAGGGTGATGGAAGCTAAACGAGAAAGAGGTATTGAAGATCTGTACTGGCAGAAAGTCGACAAGCGCTGATATACGAGCGTCCTTAAATCAGGCAGCAGCTTCAAGCAGAAGCCTGGATTCCAAAGAAACTATCCTCGGGTTGGTGGCTCAAAGATGGTTGCTGGCTGTGCAAGGTGTGCTGTCACAAGAATCCCGGAAGTTACAAATTTTGCTTTGGTTGTCATATAGCTGCGCCAAACAATATGGATGCACGACGTTTTACACAAAACGACGATTATAACACTATTCTGAACGGCGTATTATTCCAGGCGTCGCTTTATTCTAAACGTCGCTTTTCGGACTGAAACGCGTGGGCGTCGAGAACAAATTAGATTGAAACGAGAACAAGTTGATTGCCTAAGTTTTCCTCAAAATATTAATTCGATAAACAGTATAAATAACATTAAATAGCAATCATTTGAAAATGAAGAATTTTTAGTCAATCAAAATAAGCTCTTCCTTGAAAGTGTCGACTTAGACTCGAGGGGTTAAAAATCTCAGTCGAAAAACTCGGCGAAAGTTCGCACTATTTCGCCCTAAAATCTAACTTGGGAAATAATTTCTTTCAAATAAAGAACCCTAAGATATCAAGATCCAAGCCTTTGGAAACCAATCTTCACTCTCCAAAAGACCCTAAAATTCGATCAGAAATGCTCGAAATCGTCACGAAATCCGAAGTGCGCGTAAAGGGCTATTTTCGCGCAGAATCCGAAAAACGCCAGTAGTAATAGTAGTGACTGACCATTTGACAATTTTCCTGGTTCTCGATTGGATAAGAGCAGTGGAGCACTGAACCGGAAGACTCACGGCTCAGTGCGGGGGGAAGGCCCCTCAGGGCCTTCTTGCCACACCTTCAGACATATGATGAGAGCATTTTACACCACCACCACCAGTGAATATGCACATGCATAATATGCATGCAACAAATATACACTGTAGGGCGCGGCGCTTTTTCGGCCACTCCACTGTAGCCATTTTTAACCACTTTTAATGGTCAGTCACTACTATTTTAGCGGTTTTAAACGAAAAAAATTATTTTTTTCACTCTACCCCCGTTTTAAACGCTACTGAACGCTATTCTGCTATTCCCTTACTCTTAAATTAACTCTAACCCTAGCTAAACAACTTTCAGTGGTAGAAAATACGCTACTTGAGCGTCTGAGCTCTTTCTCTCGCGGCCCGCGGTTCAGTGCACCAATCCCAGCGCTCGCTTTCACGCGCCGATCCACGCCCGAGGATTAACCGCCCTTTGTCCCTTCATCGATCCAGCTTTCCCTTCTCTCATCCACATCTAGAACATTCGGTATGTTCTCTTCTTCTCGAACATTCCATTTACTTTCTATTCAGCTCCGACTCGCTGCTCCCCGCGCGTTCTGACTCAAGCCACGCCGCCGCTGCATGAGCTTTTTCATTGCCATTAACCATAATGCATCTATTTGTATTTCTTTTATGTAGAAAATAAAAATCTTTGCCTTGATTCTAACTTTCATATATAATAAAAAGGGGTTTTCACAATAGTTTTAATTTCGAATATGCTTCAACTTTTGCGCTGCCAACATAGAGGATTCTTACTTGGTCAATTCATTTATTTCTAGTAAGTTTATGTGGTAAGTATAGGTATCAGGGTGTTATGGTTGTGAAACGGTGAGGGAACAGTTCCTCATCGCTATAAATGGGCGGCAGGTTTGTGATCACAATGAAGACGACGGCAGCGAAAGTGGCAGACATTAGGACGCAAAAGCAGCATCCAAGGATGATGCTTTCAAGGACAACCTGAATAAAATTGGTAGCCATTTTCTTGTTTTTGATTTCTCAGTTTGCAAATGTTTATACCCGAAAGCAAAATTTGCGTCTTATATGTCCTTGCGCAGGTGCTTTCCAACTTGCGCACTTCTGCACTTTATGCTATCAGCCGCTCTTATCGACCTTCTACCGCACAAAGTACTTTTTAAGTTGAGCACCATTTTGATCTTCAATTCTTTCAGATTCGCCGCTGGGACTAACTACAAGCGCTCACTCTCAAGCAAAGCCAACAAGAAGGATTCGTCACGCCCCTGCCGCATGATTGCCGCGTTATCTTTTCCTTTCAAAAAACCTTAAACCCTTTTTCTACTTTAATCTACCTATCAATAAATAAACCTCAAAATATTGAATAAATGAAACAATTTTAAAGGTGCAGACTTTTACAAAACATGTTCCCTTAAAATAACTATTGCATTCATGGAATTTCATGGTTTTTATCCAGCGCCTATTTTCTCGCGCTCTAGGATACATAAGTCAATGAATCGATGGCGTAAGTCCTAGCTTCAAATACGATGCCCCCGAATCTTTTGGCTTTACTTTAAAGTTCTCACCAGGTAGCGATTTTATAGTCTATTTTTCAGCCTTTTTAAGAGCAGCGCAAAATTTTATTTCACAATTTTAAAATGAGCCATGAGCTGCAATTATAAAAACGCTTAAGAGTTTTGATGGTGGTTTAAAAAATATTATTTTCGTGAAATGATTCTGAATGCTTATCTTCGTGAATCCAAGAAGCCTCTTCACTACTGAGAGAAAAAATCCAAAAAAAAGTGAGTCTTTCATGATTTTGATCATTTTTCTAAAGCGGCTTTTAGATAAAAATGAAAAAATGAATACGAAAGTTATACCGAAATCTGAAGATTTGCCGTAGAGAAAAATACTTCTTATAAAATGTTATATCTAAACTCCTCAAGATATCGACTATTCTCTCAAGCCGTTTAGTTTATTTTAAAATGAACTCTTATTATTTCTTCTTTGACTCTGGCAAGTGGCCGACTAATATTAAATGAAACTTAAAGATTTCCGCTTCTGTTAATGAAAAAATGAGTGCAAATTTTCTACGTGTTGCTATGTAATGATTGACCATTAATGAAATGAACCTTGATTTCTGACCGCTTTTAGATAATCGAAGAAACTTTTTACTTTATAACTTTTGAAGAAATGAATCTTAAAGTACGCAGTTTGCTGCATAGACACAAGTTTTAAAATGAAACTAATGGCATTAAAAAAAGGCACCATTTAAATTAATAATGATTCTAAATTTGTTTTTAATACTGTAATTATACTCGATAAAATGAAGCTTGATCAATACAATCAGCTTAGTAAATGCAATTTTTAAATGAAACTCAATGCAAGTAGATTATGAAGAAAATAAAGTTATCAAAATAAAATGATTCAAAAAAATTTCTTATGTATCTAACGTAATCAACAAGAGTATTATTTTAATATTAAAATGATTCTAAATTTGTACACTGTGCTAGGTAGATAACGTCTTCAAAATGAAACAAAATGTAAAGAAAATTATAAATCAGGCAGGTTGTCAAAAATAAAATGATCCTAAATTCTTGCAATGTGCGTAATAAACAACGTTTTTATCAATAAATAAAATGAAAACTTTACTGTCAGTCTTATTCATTCTTTGATACATTCGAGTTTTTAAAATGAAACTTAACATGTTTAGTCATTTCCGTTCTTTAATAAACTTAATTGCTTTTTATGAAATGAAGCTTCACGTTCGATATCATATTCAACAATTGCATTTTGTTTAAAAATTTTTTTAAATAAACTTAGAAAATTTGAATTGTGCAAATTATTTTTATTTGCAGGAATGGAAGAATGAATTATATGTTATGTACAGTTACAACTTGCAGCTGAATGTTTTGTACAGTTTCTTTTGAAGCCTTCTTGCAGTGAACAACAAGAGTTCTCAAAAGCGTAGCGAAAATGATGATCCAGAAGATGTGATAGGCGAGTGTGATCCAGAATGCAGTAATTACAAAGGCAGCGAAAATGGACAAAAGAACAAATGAGATGATTCCATACTTGAAAATGTCGCTCATCTTCTTCTTTCTTCTTTTCTTCTTTCTTCTTTAGCTGAAAATTTGATTTTTTGATTTTGTGATTTTCTGAAATTCCTAAGCGCTTATATGTGGACTTTCCAGCTGTTTATGCAAGCAGATTTTTAACATCTGGAGTCCATTTGTGAAAAATCGTGATTAATTTTGCTCGATTACAATCTTAATTGTTTCTTGGAACAATCTTAATGAGTTTTTCTCCTTAATGACCCTATGAACAATTTATATTTACTTTGTAAAGTATAATAAAGCAAGTAGCCTTCCTCAAACTCAAGCGAAATTCTGCGGTAAAATTAATAGACGAAATATTCGGGAATAAAAGTATTTCTTTTTATTTTTTCATTTGATTGTCTAACAGAATGTTCATAAAAGAATTACTTTTTGACTTCGCTCTTTTTATCGTCTTCGTTGTCGCTTTCAGATGACTCGTTTCCAAAAACTCCAAGAAGTCTTTCAGCAGCTTTATTTTCTTCTTCTTCGCGCATCTTAGTAGTTGATCGCAATTCTCGACGTAAAAGCATCAAATCTTTGTCCTTGTTTGGGTAAGATCCGAAATAATTATAATCTCGCGCATTTATTATAATCGTATAATTATCGAAACTTTCCCCAGATCGGATTTTGTCTCGCAACTTTCGTGGCACCTTCAGGTTTTTTCTTTTAATAATTTCCGCAAACGTTGCAGCTGGAATAAAAAAGTCTTCACCATCAGTAACCTTCCATAAACGATATCCCAAGAAGGGTGTAAAGTTCTTTCGCCCATCACCAATGAGTTTTTCGCATTTCTCAATGTATTCCTTGTCGGTCATTTCGAGCGGAGGGACATGCGGCGCTCGTTGTTGATCGCAGTTGCTTGTCGAAGAAAAGCCGCAGGTTGTTGCGGGAATATTCATTTCGAAGTCGTCAGTCATTTGATTTTTTGCGCTTTTATCGAAAAAAGGACACCAAACCGATTTCGCCGCTGAATTTATGTTCCTTCACACCTGCGGCGGAAGGAAGTGAAAATAATCCTTTAAGCGTGTTGACATTTTCTCCAAGGGTGATTTGGGCGGAAAATCTCTCGAACGTGATTATCTAGAGATACTGTTGTTTTCCAAGAAAATCGAATCTCTAGAATGCCTTCCCTTGTTTTGAAAAATAAGTAAAAATCCTCAGTTTGTCTTTTCAAGCAGTCGGGGAAACACCAAAAAAGCGATTTTCGTCAAAATGGTGGTACGTATTGATTGGCGCTACTTTTTATTCTTAAAAATTTTAATTGCAGCCAATTGTTTATTCGATTTTTTAGCAAACAAGGTCCATCAGTCGTCGTTTTTCGCGGTTGACTTCCAATCTTCGCGAGGCTGAACGCCACTTACGACATCTTCGATTGGAACTTCTCGGCAGTGAAGTTTCTTCTCCATCCTCAAGTGGCACCTCTGACGTCGAAATGATGTCCGACATCGAAACGGATCGCGGCGTGCTCCGTTATACCGAGTTGGGCTCGATGAGAACTCGATCAAACCCCTTCGCCGAGCGAGCTCGTCTTCAGGAGCAGCAACGGGAGGCTCAGCTCGCCGAGATCCGTCGTCAAGCCGCCGTTATGCGCGACGAGCCGATTGCGGAGAAAAATCGACGAGAGCTCCAAGATCGACTTGACCGGCGAAATCGACGAACTCAGCAGGACATGGCTGCTCCATCAAGCGATGGTCCATCTGATACCGAAGTTCGTCGCGGGCGGTTTGGCGAACGTGGCGGTGTCGGTCCGGCCATCCATCGTGGCGTAAACGAGGTCCTCCTTTCCGTTGAAGAAGCCGCTCGTAACCCGGGTCGTACATTGCTCAAAGCAATCACGCCTGGCAAAAAAACGCCTGGCAAAAAAACGCCTGGCAAGAAGTCGGCGAAAAAAACTCCCGGCAAAACCCCCACCACCAAGAAGACTCCTGGAAAGAGCAGCTCGCTTAAGAAGATGGGGAAAATGGTGCGAGGAAAGCGTAAGTTTTTGCTCATATAGTCGCGTATAAATATTTTTTAGGAGAGCGATTCCATCAAGCTCCCCGGGATCAGGCTGACTTCTGCGAAGAATTGCCCTACGATTTGGTTATCCGCTACCTTGGCGAATTTCTCTCGTCAGAAGATCAGGAGACGTTGGCGGAGAGAGCATCCTCATTAGAGGATGCTTTTGAAGCCCGTTTCGGGCGATTTTGGTCGGATTTGGTGTCGGGCAACTGTCGCGTTAGCTTCTTAACACGAAGCGGTCGCTCCTGGAACGTCGATGGTCCACTCTGGGAAAAAGACGCCGAAGAGGAAGAAGAGGACTAACGTCTGCTCGATGAAAAGACTAACTTTTATGCGCTTGAAACGAGCTGCAAATAAAAAACATTTTATTTCTAGAAACTGTCTTTTATTATTGAAAATTTGAGGTTTTATTAGTAGCGCTAGAAACAGAGGTTAGTCGAAAGGCGAGTTTGCTGATGTAAAATAGTAGCGCTCAACGGCTACTTTGTAGTGTACATTGAGCGTAAATTCAAGGTCGCGGGTCACTTTCAGTGTTTTTCGAACTGTTTTTTCGTATTCGTCTTCGCGTAAAAGGGCAGCTTTCCACAGCGGCTCATTTAGTTTCTTTCTTATTTTGTCGAGTCGCATGCAATGCTTTTGAGAATAGTTAGTTATTTTTTGTCGGTCACTTACATTTGGCACCAAATGCTCGTAAAGCATCATTTCGTCATTGGCGCAGATAAACGCCAGTCTAACGGTGTTAATAAAAAGCCTTGATATGTAATTGAATGTTTTCATTTGGTGAAGGTCTTGCGCCACTTTTTGACGATAAGCATTAAGTTCGTGTCTGGTCAAGCAACTCATCTGGAAAAATAACCGTTAATTTTTTAATTTGCCTATTTATTAAACTATTAATCGATAGCATGCAGAAATTTAACAATAATAAACGGAGTAAGAAAGAGTAGATCTAAAATGAGGTGTTCATCAATGTGAAATAGTAGCGGTCATAAGCTGTTCGAAAATGAATCTTCAGAGTGTTCTCCAGTTCTTGCATAAGCGTCCGCATATCTCGCACTTTCCGGCCGATGTCGTCTTTTCGCTCTTCTGCACCGTCCCACATGCGTTGATCGAACAGGGTCTTCATTCCGTCAAGCCGCTTGCAGTGCTAGAAAGAATAAGTTAAATTAAATTCATTCGTTCTTTACTTCGGGTATTTTGTGCTCAAGCAACACCACTTTCTCTGGCCAGACGTTGCTTATGAATTCGACTTCTTCCACAAAGTCTTTTGTGTAGATTCGAAAATCTCTCATTTTTCGCAGTCCTTGTGTATATTGTTCCTCGTAAGCTTTTCGCTCTTCTTCTGATAAGTCGGCCATCTCGAAAGACTGGTGTCATTTCGTTTTCGCTCGTCTCTTTATACTCTTACTTGATTTATCACGAATTTTTCAGAAAACGCGCGATTTTCAATCTACTCATCGTTTGGGCTAAACTTTCACTTAGAGTTTCCATTAGATTCTACGTTTGAAAGTTAATGGCGCTCGAGGGCAGTGACCAATTTGATACTAAATTTTATTCTACTTTCTCTCATTTCGCAAAATGTTAATAAAAAATTTGGAGTTTTTCGATGACGTAAAGTCTGATTTTCCCTGTTTTCTGGTTGAGAGACCTTCTCGTTTCTGCCACAATCCGCTCCTTCAATCCGTAAAATCTACAGGAGTGCTTAAACGAATGCAGCGAATATCTTTCTTTATTGAAAGTTACTATAATAAGACCTCCAAAAAAATCGAACAGAGAGTAATTGTTCGACAGCATGAGTGGTTGATCGAGTATTCACCATCTTTTTGCATTCATCATATGCATCAGAATAAAATTTATGATAATCTGCCAACGATGACTTCTTACGGCGTGGCCAACAGCGGATGTCCTGCAGTAAATTTCGGTCGGCGGGCCATAACGGAACACATGTGCATGGTTCAGCGAGAGTTCTTCTATGATGGCAGTTTGGCTGAAGATGCGTTTTGTAACATCCAAAAAATCATATATCCTAATTTAAAAGAAGTCTTTCATTCTTTAAATCCCTGCAAAAATGCCGAGTATCCGTTTCGTATACTGATAGTTCTATATGGACAACTTTGGGCTCGCTCGTTGTTGGAAAAAGATGCGCGTTTCCAAACACTGGACAATGAACCTGACACTAAAGCGATCGACTCATTTATCGAGAGTCTTTTGGTCGAAATTGGAATTCCCTACGACGAAATTTATCCTCAACTTGGAACCCAAGATGAGTTTCTTTATCACCTTTCAATTTGCAGATTAGTTTATGGAAATTACTATCGATTAGAATGCTCGAGACGGGCTTATTACTATGGAGGCGTCTACCCTGATATGCCTTGGTTTGGTGGTAAAAGAAGATTCCAAAAATATATTCAAGAGTTAGAAGAAAAAGCGCTTGCGCTCGGTTATACTTTTGTAAGCTCTTTTTTTCCAACGCTTCAATAATGATTTAGTTTCACCCGTTTTTCTCGACAAATAGCGAAGTGTTCGAAATTGCAGCCGATTCTTTCGTTCCTCGGCAAGAAATTGGAAAATTGAATATTTTCAGGAAAACAGCGCTTCAACAACCACGACCAGCATCTGTCATTATTTTCCGCGATTGTTTCGACGTTACAGATCTGTATTGAAAGCAAAATAAGAATCTACATCCGTCGACTGGCGTATCGCTCATCGATTTACTTTTAAGTGCTCTCTTGCGCTGCGCGTAATAAAAAAATCTTTCTTAAAGTTGTTTGATCAGTATCATGAAAAAAATTTTTGAAGTGTTCTCTCGAGATAATCTGCATCAGTACGACGTCGGAGTTGTTGTAACTCATGAAAATCGCTTCCAAAATGATCAACCCATTCTTTACGAGTTTTTATGCAACGGAGTAACTGACTTCTCGTCCTCCATTACGTTTTTCGTAAAAGAGAGCGTTGACGAAAAAACGGGCGTTAAATCTTCTTCAATCGTAATAAGACAAGTGGAGGAATGCATCTCACCCGGACCGCCTTCGAATATCCATCCATCGCCAAACGAAGTGGTTAAACATAAGACGAAAACTGTCAAAGAATATTTGAACGATGAACGCCACGAAGGAGCCCCTTATTGCTTAGGTTATAAGAAAATAAGAAATGGCCTTATCAAACGAGAATTTGTTTACGAAAACAGCTCTCTTTCTTGTACGGTTCAATGCCATAAATATCCTAATTTAGACATATTTTTTCGGAATTTGAATCTGTACGGTAAAGCTTTCTTGTGCGAAAAAGCGCTGTACGCCGCATACGCTCAAATTTGGGCAAGAGGACTGTTGGAAATGGATCCGAAGTATTCGTCTGATAAGAAAAAAATTGACAAACGTGTTTATGCGCTTTGTAACGCTGCTCAGATGAAACCGAAAGAATATTTAGTATCAGAAATGCGCAAAATTACTGCTCAATTTTATTGTGTCACTGCTAAAATGTTTCTGCAACGTGATCAAGGCCAGTATTTTGGCGGCTTTAAGGATCTTGGGGAAAAATGGATTGCCGAGCTCGATAGTAAAAGTAAGTTTTCGCTTCAAAACTTCGTCTTACTTTTTTAGTGCCGACGCCTGCACTTGATCACAACTCTTTCCCCCTTCATTTTCGAAATTATCAGGCTGAACGAAGATGCTGCTGCGCCGACAACAACTGCAATAAACGACTTTGCCGCCATAAAGAAACTCCGTGTATTTTTATGTAGTTTTTTTATTCATGTCAGTTGTCAATAAATTTATATTGGAAATTTACTGTGACAGGCCAAACATCCATGGTGCACCACCCAACCCAGCCACCTCCCCGAAATAATTCGTAATTACTCGAGGTTGGTCCGCGTGTCGAACGTCTCGTTGGAGGATGACATAGTTGTAGTTAGGGATTCTTCTTTCTTTGAACAGCTTCATGGCTTGATTAAAAGGCTCGACCAGGCCACACTTGGTTGCAATCGTCTTGTTAATGCCGCAATCAGTATGATTGTTCATTAGAACAAAGCTGGTCATGCAATTTCTAAAACAATCATTAGCTCTGAAAAAGAAAAATTAGTTAAAACAAACCTTGCTGTAATGGCCTTTTTACCCTTTTCGTAAAAATTCTGGGCTATAAATGCTAACGAGACACCTAAATGTCTACGCCCATATGAGAGTAAATATTCGCAAGTGTTACTCTCGACTGACGATGACCATAAATCGTCTACAACTATAAGGCTCTTACTATCTGCTTCTATTTGAAAAGTGTCGTCTACCCAGTCTTGAGAGGGGAGCCCTTCCATTAAATATAGTTGTTGATGACTATGAGGGGTAATATGAAGCGGTTCTAGTCGTGGCATAAAATAATAAATGGATTCAATATCACCGTTGATTCCGTCACACTCAATCAAATTTTTAACAAAGTTACTTTTACCTGTGCCGGTCGAGCCCGCAATGAGCAGTGAACAGGGGTGACGGAAACGGAAGTCGGGGACGAGTTTCGTTAAATGTTGATGCATTTTACGAAAGCGACTTCGAATTGACCGGGAATCTTTCCTTGAAAGTTTGGAGTGTTGTTGTCTGCAGGCGTATATCCGTTGACACAGACGATGATTGTTTTGTCCTGTAGATCAGTAAGTAGACCTGTCGGCTCGTAAAAGTAGTTCCGAATTTCCGCGTCTTCTTGATTCCAATTTTTGGATTGAAATGAAAGAAGGCTTCGCGATTCGTCTCCAGTTTCTCTTGCCCTGGAAATGTTATATCTCCGAGCGTAAATTTCTTGATTTTTCCGGTGACCTTATGAGTCCCACCGCTTATCCAATTTTGGACGTTCAAGTTCTCAATTTTAACTTGGGTGAAGGATTCAGCTCTTTTTGCTAGTTCGTCCATTGTTCTGATGTTTTTTAATACGGTCTCTCGTTTTTATACTCCAGTTTCCATGTTTCCACTAAAGGGCGCTAGTGCCGCGCGTATAAAACCGGATACCGTAACAGCTTTTCTTTAATCTTATAATTGTTATTCCTACAGTAACAGCAAAAGAAGAGAAACATTTTTATCAGGTATTTATGCGCGATTTAATTTTAGATGTTAACTCAGTGTTAATTAATGTTTATGTGAGCATGAATGTAACGTTTCATTTTTAAAGATATGGCTGGTCAAATTGACCTCAATAAAATACCCTTGAATGGAGGTTGTTATTTTTCACTGTCGCAGATGTTGAACATTTGCTCTTTTTGGGAAATTAATCCTCTGACTAATAGAGTGAGAGTTCGGGCCCCAAAAACGAAAGCGGAACCTTATCCTGATTATGATACCGAGGAAGAGGGTACCGCCAAGCTACTTGCGGGACTTTGCAACCGGAAAATACCTAGAGGACAAGCTAGACGGTCTAGACGAATACGAGGTCAACCGCCTGCAATCCGAAGCGAGGAAGCCAGTGAGTTCGATTCTTCCTTCGAAGAAGAAAAGGGGCCGACCGCGAAAAGTGAAACTACCCTCTACGGAGCCAACAACTTTGACGACTATGACTCCGATATCAGCAGCGTCTACTCAAAACCGTCCAGACGACCCGATGTTAAATCAAGCGCTCGTAAAAGGAGGAGAAATAGATCAATGGACAACGACAGTTTCGAAGAAAGTCAACCAGTTACGCGGCGTAAACGAGGAAGAATTGAAGCGCCTAAACAAGTACGACAAAGGAAGCGAAAAAACAACGATGGCTATACTATCACCAGCGATGATTTCAGAAAATTCAGGGATTCAATTTATGACACAACTCATCGCAGCAAGAAACCCAAAAACCGGAGAGTTGAAATTTCCTCAGGAACTGATAGTGAACAAGTTTCCGACTTCAACGATCAAGATGACGGATCTTCAACCGGGACTGGTTCAAAAAGCGCCGACGAATCTCAGTACTCAACCGATGATAATGACCAACGAAACGCCCGGAATGGAAGAAAAAATTCAAGAAATCCAAGAGAACAATCCGTCATTGTCGAGAATCCCGCGTACAACTTCAATAAACGAAAGACAGAAAAAAATCGGGCTCCCGCTGGACGAGTTATTACAGTACGAAAACCCAAACATGCCGGAAAATCTGAAGAACTTCCAAAATCCAGAAAAGGGGTCGAGCTAATAACTCAGCTCCAACAAAACGGGCCGCCGCAAAACGCAAACGAATCTCCCCTGAATTTAGCGAGGGCGACGCAGTTACTTCCGACACGGGAGACAACAACGACGACGAAGAACCAGTCCTCGAATCAACCTCAAACTTCTGGTCCCGCTAATAAACTTCCATATACTTTAGATTTATTTTATAATCCTGAACAACCGTCATTTTATAGCGGTCTTAATGTGGATCGTTTCAAGCGTATGAATGAGTCTATTTCTCTTCATAAGCCACTTCATAGAAATTTTGCGCGAAACCCTATTATAGCTACTGATTTATATTCGTGTCTTTTTGCCGATACTATTTTAGCTTATCAAAACTTTGGTGAATTCAATAACAATTACAAATATATTTTGTGTGTTGTTGACGCTTTATCAAGACAAAGTTTTGTTCGAAAATTAATAACAAAAGAGTCTGGAGAAGTAGCGAAAAATCTGCAATCTATCTTTCAATCACTTGACTTGCCCGGGCACACATTTTTTGTGACCGATCAAGGTTCTGAATTTCAACAAGAAGTCCCAGTTCTTCTTGCAAAATGGGGGATGACTCGTGTGTTTAATACAGGTCCTCATAAAGCAGCGATAGTTGAGCGTTTCAAGTAAGTTCGTTTTATTCACAGTTACAGATGAGCATTTTATTTTAGTAAAACCCTGGAAGCCCGTCTTGGAAGAGCTTTCACAAGTCAAGGAAACGTAAAACGTTGGGTTCACATTTTACAATCTGTAAATACTGCTATAAATAATACTGTGCATTCAGCTACTAATGTTAAACCTTCAGATGTAAATCGTAATAACGCTCGTCAATTATTTGACTATTTAGAATCAAAAAGATCAAAGCAATATCGCCAAACGTGGAGCAAGCTTCACGTTGGGGATGTTGTGAGGATTCCACGTAAAAATATCAAACGTTTCGAAAAAGGTTTTACACCAAAGTGGTCCACTGAACTTTATCAAATTTATCAAATTCATCACGGTGCTAGAGTATTTTCATTTACCCTTATTAATTCTAAAGGCGTTAAATTAGATAGGCGTTATTATGAAAAAGAATTAAATCTTGTTATGACTCTTTCTGAACTGAAACAACGACGCGCTCGCCAACGATAAAGATTTCATTTATTTTTTTGTTTAGATGACAAGCAGATCTTACCTTGTAAAACCGCGATTATCACGATTACGAAATTTGGTTCTAGCTTCCCCTTCGACTCGTCAACGAAAACGTCGACGACGGCCTCGAAGACGTCGGCGAGCACCTCGAACTCGTCGATTGAGACGTCGAAGAAGACCGAATCGAAAACGGAGAAAGCGCCGAAGAAGGCGACGAACATAAACAACTTCTCGTCAAAATGCGCACCATGCTCGCATTGCAACATATCAACACTGAAAAAAACTATTTTTTTTATTATTTTATTCGCTATTTTTTTTACTCAACTTCTTTTAGTTGCGTTCATTTATGCTCACATAAACATTTTATCGTTAAAATTAGGGATTATGATACAATTGCTTACTAAACATAAACTAAGCGATCTTTTTGGCTAGGAATCTTTGTTCACTATTTGTTGTAATAAAATTTTAGTGTTCAACTATGGAAGAAAATTTTGGAAACCTACTTTATTACAAGAAGCCTAAGAAGAATCCAGATCCCTACGCTGGATATAAAGTGCTTCACACTTTGGGCGACTTCTCGACTGGTAACGGAAAAATAACATTTGCTATGCCTCCTGATAAATTGCCAATCAAATTGGACAGATGTGCGATTTTATTTCAACTAAAAATGCCTTCTAACTTTGTTCCTGATAACAGTTTTGCGTCGAAAATAATAGATAAATTGAATTTCTATATTTTGGATGAATGCATCTTTTCAACTTGGACAAATGGATTGGAATACTTGTTTTTCAACAATTTTATAAAAACTCAACTACTCGCCAAAAGCTCAGGAAGTGGAATTATTTCCAGAGGGGCATTACGATTCTTACGATGCGGATGCTGACGAATTGCTTACTCTAACGTGCAAGCATAATGGTTACAATCTTGTTGAAAATCGGCAACAATACGCGATGGAAGAGTGGAAAGAAATGGAGACGTCCATTAAAATCTCAAAAGACGAGAAAGCTGTTAAATGTGAAATGCTGTATCATCGGTACCTTGTTCGATCGCCAATTAGCCACGGATTGGCGAGACAACAACGAGTTTTACCTGCAGACTCACGAGTTAAATTTGAGCTCCTTACTCAAACTAGCGTGGATCAAGATAAATCGGAGACTCCTCGGCGAATGGCAATGAAATGGAGCGAATACCAAAAGTTCAGGACTTTACAGAGCAATATTTACGAGACAGATGTTAAAGGAAACGTCATTAGTACCAAAATGAATTATCCTTTTAATAAGGACATTCAACTAGTGAGTGAATGGGTCGAACATTTAACAGAAGCTTCTTGCGACTGTTCGGATGATAAGTTTAAAAGCCCAGAAGAAGGTCAACCTCCTGAATATCTTCAAATTGAAAGTATCGGCGGTCCTTACTTACCTGAAAATAAACGAAAGGAGCTCTACGACAAAGGTACGCCTGAAGACAAAGAAAACAACATAACGGCAGTTGCAGGAACCTGGAGAGCTCACAAGATCTATCGAAGAGTTCCAAAGTACGATAGAGTCATTGACGGTGAAACCAAATATGTAATATTTTGGAAGAAGAGCGCAATTAACTTTTCGTTAACTACGGATATGCTTAGACATCTTCAATTTGAAAGTGTTTTCTGCACTCCAACGAAGGATGAGCGACCTTTGATGATTGGTAAGAAACAGGCTAAAATTCCCTTTTATCACCCCCGATTGTGCGTTGGAACATGGGCCCCAGGGTATCGAACATATATCGTTGAATGTTCTCGAGGCTTATTTCCGGATATGTTGATATTTACGGGAATGAGCGAGGAGCGTAAAACTCCTTCATTTGACAGATGTATTACAAAAACATCCCTTTTTGAGGAGGGATTTGAAATTGAGCAGTTTGAAATCTTAGTTGATAACGAGCACGCTCACGGTACTCCCTGGAATTCTGCTCAAGATCACTATCTTAATTTTCTTCGACATAACGGACGCTATGCAAATAAAACTGTGGGGGAAGGCCTTGATTTTTTTCAGTTTTGTAATCAAAACTGGTTTGTTCCCATTTATTTTGGCGATCGTCGAGATATGATGGGAACAGTGCAAATCCGAATAACGTTCAGGACTGCTTTAAAAAAGGGCTGGGCTCCGTTCATCATGCGATTTCCGGTGGATAATCTAGTTTTAGATGCGTCAAGAAATGGTTAGTTTTAAAAGTTAAAATTACTGTATTAAAAAAATTTTAGAAGCTTCCGTCATTTCAAGATCGACTGTGATGTGCAAGGCAACGCCAGACAATCAAACTCCTTCAATACATCTGGACAATACGGAACAAATCGGACGATCGCCAGCCAAACGAGCTAAACTGTCGCGTTAGCGACTCCACTGACAGCGCTGCGAATGGCGTACTTGAACGTGTTACTCTCTGCTGACAATTTTTTTATATATAACGCTAGCTGTGAATAAATCTTGTGTTAACTTTTTTATGAAGCGTTTTTTGCCTAATAGAGCAAAAGGCTTATCAAAAACTAACTACCAAAAAAAACGAAGACATTTATTAGCATCAGCAAATAATCAAAAATCTGCAGAAAGTGCTTTCTTTGCAGGAGAAAATTATGAAAGTGAATCCGAAGAAGTGGTAAAAATACCTCGCCAGAGGCCCGATCCATTGGAAAGCGATGAAGATTCTGATGACAACAACGAGCAAGATGAGAGCCGAACTCGCACTTTGAGTATTTCCAGCGATGAGTATTCTCCCGCAAATCCGGAAGATGAGCGAAATCAGTCGAATGTCTACGATACAATTCTGCTGGGAATTAACTGGTGGAACTATTTGAAACAGATTTATCCAAAAGTTCCAACAAAATTAAATCAAGAACTAAGGGAATCGCTTTCAAAAGTAGATACAAGTGAACTGGTTAAAAAGTTTGGTTTGTCGCCAACAAGAGCAGATTTACCGAAACTAGAACGATTTTTGGACATTGATATTTATGCGTTGTATGGTGGCTATTTTCGTCCTCTTGGTATTAGTTATCGACCGCATCGAGTTGGATGTCGCGAAAATGTTGGAGAGGTCATTGGCAGATTAGAGTCTGCGAATCCAATGTCAACTCGACCTTGTGTCGTTCTTCAAAGCGCGCGTCCCTACTTTTGGCGTCTTGGAACATTTCATCTTTTGCCTACTAGGCGCACTTTCGAGGATCGTGATAAAAACTGGGTAAGTATTTGGAACGCACTGGTCAAAGTTCGATGGCCTAAATTACCTTCTTGCGAATATAATCTCAAAATTGCGGAGATAAAAAAAGAGCTGTTTGGGGAAGCGCACGCCGACAAACAATTTTCGATTGCAGATGGTATTTTTCAAAAAATAAGGAACAAATACAAAGTCAATATTCGACTTTTCGTCGGTAAAATCATAAACGACAATGTCAATCTGAAGCGCTGTGTTTACGCGGCGATGGGAACTTCAGATTGCGTAAATATGAATATTTTGGCTGCTCCTATGCAAGAAGATGAGTTTGCAAGAGAATTTAAACGACTGACGAATCTTACCTACAGAGAGTTCGATAATTATCCTGGATTGTTACCGCTTTACGCGGCGAATAAGGATTATCAGCGGCGTTACAGTAAATGTTCACGATTTTTAAGCAGAAAAAAGACTGCTCAAATTCTACGGTGGACAAAAAATCATAAACATAATCTACACGACGCCACAGAAGTATTGCAGAGCGACGAAGAGGACATGCAAGAACTTTTAGGAACAACTGCTGCAGAAACGAATGATGACGATTTATCATTTGTTGATTTCGATAAATTGACCGAGAATGCGAGTACTGAAAAAAGTCGTGAAATAAACCCATTCGTCGAA